AAGCCTTGGTTATTGCTCTGTCTCCCTCCACTGCTCTCTGGTTAATGGTGTGCATGAATCAGAGGTCCCGGCAGAGAGACAGGCAGGCTCTAGAACACTCTCCGGGCACATGGCCACGACCCACGGGGCAACCCGAGGGAATGAAGGATGCAGGGCTCTGAGGCCATCAACTGTCTGCTGTGCCGTGCTGGCATCCGCGCAGGTGGGACAGAGAGGGTGGGTGGCACATCCGCTCTTATTTCTGATCCTGTCTGAGGTGATCCCAGGCACGGCTTGCTTCCTCCTAGAGCTGGGGCAGAACATCCGAAAGTCGGAGAGCTCAGGATCTCGGGATCGCCCAAGTCCCCACTCAGCACACGTCAGGGACCCAGGCCAGGGGTCTCTTGGAAGTGATGATGGAGCCTATTGCTCAGACCCCATTGGCATCTTCTGCTCGTTGGTCAGGCCAGGAAGGGCCCCTTTGCCAAAGCACTTTCTCCGAGCCAGGCTTGGGACTAGACCTTTTATAGCCATGATCATTTAGCAGGGGAATAGTCCAAATCAGCGATTTTCAACCTTTTTTTTCCCCCTCTCTTTTTGGGTTTTAGGTCCCATCCGGCAGTGCTCAGAGCTGACTCCTGGCTCTGTGCTCAAGGATCACTCAGGGGACCATATGAGATGCCCGCTATCAAACCTGGGTCAAGGCAAAAATGGCCATACCCTTTGTACTATCACTCCAGCATCCAGATCTTTAACCTTTTCGCACTGGGGGCCTGCACTTATCTTATAGACTGGTCCATGGACTGGCGAGATCACCAAGGTGGCAGAGCAAGGGTTATTCAACTTCCTACACCTACTGGCCGTCGCTGTGCAGAGACCAGGGGCTGAAGGCCACTCTCAAACCTCACGCAGTCAGAATGAACTCTGGTGTTAATGACAGGAACCAGGGTCGCTGATTCAGTGTTGACCTGGATTTGCATAATCTCCATCCCCAAAGGCCGCAAAGAGACATATATGGTGCACGGAAGAGTTTCTTGGAACTGGAACTGGAACTGGGTGGAACAGTGGCTCACCCACCTGTTGCTGGCACATCAAAAAGCAAGAGGGACCTCACAGAAGGATGCTGATGTGGAGAGAGCAAGGCAGAGCCTGCCTCCCTGAGGGTCAGGAGTTCTGGTCAGCCCAGAACCAGCCACCTTGGGGCAGACGCTCTGGAAAAGTGAGTGAGAAGGAGGGCACGAGGTGGTGGGATAAATGGGCTCTGGCACCTGGTCAGCGAGAGAGCACTGCCCACTCGCTCTGAGCTTGCTCTCCTGTGTTCTCAGGGCTCCCAGACCCCAAGGCTACGAACCTGCCTGGCTTCCACTGGCCTCTGAGTCTGTGACCTGCTCCTGACAGTCACCATCCCTGCACCATCAGGGAAGCAAACCAATCTCTCTCCTCATGAGCATCAGCTGCTTCTTTGCACTCTTGCTGCCTTGCTTCCCTGCCTGATCTCGGAACATTTCCTGCCTGGCCTGTGCCGCCAACTTCCTGGGTCCTTCAGGATGTGGTAGCGGCTGGTCCTAGGAACATACTTTGAAAACCACTGCTCTGCCCCGAGTGGTCCTGACCCCTGAGCTGCCAGGGAAGGGAGCCTTTACATCTCATCTCTAATGAGGAAAGAGGCTGGATCTAAGTTCTGAGACCTCATAAATAGCCCCTACGAAACCCAAATGAGTTGCCTGTACTGCCTCCAAGTTACCAGTTTCCAGAACAAAGAACCAACCCTTCTCTTCAGAACTGCCTTTTGCTGTCCTTCAAGTGGAGCCACGGAAGAAGGGACACTGTCCAGCACATGTGGGCTCCCCCACCGGCCCTGGGTGAGCAGTGACATCAAGGGCTCGCCCTTCCATGACCCAGTATCTCCTGTTATTGAGCAAAGCGTCACCCCACTCATAAAAAGAATGATCAACTTGGGCCTGAGATATAGCACAGGGGTGAAGGCAGTGGCCTTGCATGCAACTGACCAAGGCCCCACAGGGTTCCCCCAAATCACTAGCTGCAGCTGGTGGCCCCAAGCACTGCCAGGATGACATGCATAATCCCTGGAACAAGGCTAGAGCAGCAACTCAGCCTTAGGTCCTTTCATTGAATCACGGGTCCAGCTGGCTGAGAGCAACATGTAAGGTCCCCGGGCCCCCTTAGGACTGCTTGAGAGGACCCCACCCCAACCAAAACAAAAGAGAGATCGTGTCAGGAGATAGCATGGCAGTTAGGGCACAAGCTTAGCACCTGTGCAATCCAGGCTCAATTCCTAGAAACACATGGTCCCCTGGGCATCACTGGGGGCAGCTCTCTAGGGCCCAAGTACCATGGGGCAGCATTGCACTCTTAGTCCTTTGTAGCCAAGAACTGAATATAGGGACTCCAACCCCAGAACTCCTGAGCACTGCTTGGAAGGTTCTAGCAGCACCCAAAGAAATGATCTACTCTGTGACTTCCCGCTATGCACTGGACACAAGCTGGGTGCTTATGCTCTCAAACAAGCTTCTGAGGCAAGTTCCTGCCACGATACTCCCACCACAGACCATGGATGGGGGGCACAGAGTGAGGAACTGCACAGTGAGCGAGGACCAGCAAACTGTAGACATCACTGGGCTTACTGAGGGTCGTACATGATGGGAAGTCCTGGGCTCCACCCTTTCCACCCCAAACCCAGTATCTCTCATCCGTGCCTTATGCTAAAAGCTGATTACCCGGAGGAAAACGGGCACCTGGAGATGCTAGTCTAAGAAAGGCTGTTTGCAGGTGTAGGCTGATGGGGAGTCAGGCCTAGAGACCCCAGGATTTGGTTGCATCAGACCAGTGTGCAGTGTCTGCAAAGAAAGAAGCCCTGGATGAGGAGATGGACCAGGGCGGGCCATACTGGAGAAGCTGAGTTGTCACGGATTTGCTCCGCACCAGAAAGCATGGTGAGACCAGTGGGGAGGAGAGGGGCAGCGCAGGGGTTTTCTCAGCTGACATGCTGCTGCCCCTGCCTGAGTGCCCCTCTCCGGGCACTGCGCCGTCTGGGGTGGGGCCCCTGCTCCCACACACATGACTGAGTGACCCCAGCCTGTGTGCTTGACTTCTCTGAGCCGCTCTCTCCTGCATCCTGTCCATCACTGGGAGGAGGGAAGGAGCTGCTATGTCAGGTGTTTTAGCCTCACCCTCGGTCAGGTGCATTAGCTCCGCCCCACATCAGGTGCTTTAGCTCCGCCCCACGTCAGGTGCCTTAGCCCCGCCCCATGTCAGGTGCTTTAGCTCCGCCCCACGTCAGGTACTTTAGCCCCGCCCCATGTCAGGTGCCTTAGCCCCGCCCCATGTCAGATGCTTTAGTCCCTCCTCTGTCAGACGCTTTAGCCCCACCCCTTGTCAGATGCTTTAGCCCCGCCCCATGTCAGGTGCTTTAGCTCCGCCCCACGTCAGGTGCCTTAGCTCCGCCTCATGTCAGGTGCCTTAGCCCCGCCCCATGTCAGACGCTTTAGCCCCACCCCTTGTCAGGTGCTTTAGTCCCGCCCCACGCCAGGTGCTTCAGCCCCGCCATAAACTCACATGCTTTATCCCTGCCGTAAGTGGTCAAGAACTGGGTAACAATATCGAAATACCAACCACTGCTACTTCCCTCCTCTGACTCCTCAAGCCCCTTAAAACTTCTGGGTTATTTTCTTTCTCTTTTGGTGGGGGTGGGAGTTGCAGGTAGGTGGGGCCAACCCAACAGTGCTCAAGGCTGACTCGTGGCTCTGGGCTGAGGGATCACTCCTGACAGTGCTCGGGGACCCTATGTGTTGCCAGGGATCAACTCAGGCCAGGTGCAAGGCAAGTGCCTTAACACCTTATGTTCTCTCTTGGGCTCACAATCTCAGGTTTTATTTATTTTGGGGAGGGAAGAATGCACAACAAAGCTGAGACTCGCTTTCATTTGGGGCTTTTCATCCGAACAGTACTTCGCTAAGCCAGGGTTTGTCACAGGCTGTTACATCTGGGCCACACCCAGCTGTGCTCAGGACTTGCTCCTGACTCTGTGCTCAGGGATCACTCCTGGTTGGACTTGGGAGCATGACCCTATGGGGTGCTGGGGATCGAACCCAGGTGGGCCCTGTGCAAGCCCCAAGCGCCTTACCATCCTTTCAGCCTCCTGACTTCGGGTTTTAATGACAATATTTGTATTCGCTTTTCAGTCCCCTCTCGCGTTGTCAGCCTTTCAACCCAGAGCAAAGCCCTGGGTCTCTACACTGCTCCATCTAACAAAGACACAGTTTGGAGTAGCTTTATAGCTGGGATGAATTCAGGTGCAAACACTTTCTCCCCCACTCCTACCTGCTGAGTGGGAATGGAAATCGTTCCCAGAGCGCACAAGTGAGACTTCCATTCTTACATTGTAAAAGTCATCTCAAAGCCTCTCCCCGCATGGCCACACCCCTCCCTGACCCCCCAGGTTTGCGCCAATCTGGGATCCTGTTCCATTCTGTTTCTCCTCGCGTGGGGGCTGGCTGGCGGCGCTGCCTTGCTCACTGATTCAGGTGGAGTGTACATTTCAGAATTAAATTTAAATACTGTTGAGATAAACAACATGACCTTTTCAATGTCAGTAGGAAGAGAAAATGACACAGTCACACTGGGGTGTTGTTGGGGGGAGGCAGAGTGAAATTAGACTCTTTATCATCATCCAAAAATGGAGCTGAACTCTGCTCACAACACAACGGGGTACAGACGAGTTGCCGGCGAAGACGGGGCAGGAACCGAATGAATAAAACTGAACCTTCTCTGCGGATTGTCTTTCCCAGACGGAGAAAAGCCAGGCTGTGGAGAATGACATCTCCATCCCTGTGGCCTATGGCTTTGGACAAAAGCCGGGAGCACTTTCAGCTCACTCACAAGGACAGTCATCAAAATGTGACCTCCACCCCCCAGCAAGTGTTCTGCACCCCCTCAAGTCTGAGTAGGAAAGGAAGAACAACCGGTGCGTAACTGACAGCCAGAGAGAACCATTTACTTACGGCTTTTGGCTTGTATGGGGGCTGGATCTCTTTGCGTTCAAGTTTCTCCCAGTCAATATACCGGAAAAACGCATGTTCCTTGATGTCACGTTCACCTTCGGGGCCACAGCCAAGACGTTTGCCTGGATGCTTGGTCATCAGCTGCAAGAGAAAGGGAAGTGCTGTTTTATTGGAGGGACTTGAACACACTGGTATGTACCACTGGTGGCTCACACTTGAATGTGGTTTAACCAACATAAATTGTAGTGCCAGCAGGTTAAGAGGAGAAATGGGACGGTCAGAAATGACGGCTCCGTGAGCAAGGGAAGAACACACAATGGAGTCGAGACTGACTTTCATGTGGGGCTTTTCACCCAAGCAGGACTTTGCTAAGCCAGGATTTTGTAACAGAAAGACCCACTCCCTGTTACAGGGAGTCATGCCGGCTGCTCCCGCTGTATCCCTGAGGGTCCTTTCAACTCTAGCAGGAACGTGGCCCTGAACTTCAAGTGCGAAATGTCACATGAAGCCTTTTTGATTGAAGAAGGAGTCTTCTGCAATTACTGGTGCATGGAAGAGAAGCATTTTTAATATCTGCCAATTCCCCTCCGCCCACTGCAAGGAAATCAGATCTAGACCAAGGCAAAGGCCACGTTGATTCAGATAATATTTACATTGCCCGGCGAAGTGATGGGGAAAATGACAGAACAGAAGAAAAAATATTAGTCAAAGGGACCCATGTTTCAATTAATTACTTTTTGAAAGCTTGTTAAATAGTCCAAACCCTGCACACAGCTCATTGCCCTGATATTGTGCATGAGAACAAAAACATGCTTCTTTGATTGTCAAAATTCCTCTACCTTTGGGTCGACAAGCCAGTTGCTAAACAAGAGGAATAGAGGGTCAAAGGTGAAACCACGAAAGTTTCCTCTTGTAAAGGAGTGCAAAGCAACAGAAGCATCTCTCCAAGCTCAGATTTTAGCAAAGGCACCAAGAGGACAGACGGAAGAGTGGGTAGCACTGTAACACTGTCCTCCTGTTGTTCACTGATTTGCTTGAGCGGGCACCAGTAACGTCTCTATCATGAGACTTGTTACAGTTTTTGGCATATCGAATACATCATGGGTAACTTGCCAGGCTTTGCCGTGCCGGCGCGATACTCTCGGTAGCTTGCTGGGCTCTCCAAGAGGGGTGGAGGAATTGAACCTGGGTCAGCCAGGGTGGCCGAGTGCAAGGCAAACCCCCTACCGCTCCAGCCCGGAAGAGTGAGTAATTCAAAATAAAATAAAATAAAAGCGAATGAGGATCCAGAGGGCTAGTACAGCAGGTAAGGCTCTTGCCTTGCATGTGGCTGACCTGGGTTTGATCCCTGGCACCCCATAGGGTCCCCTGAGCTCATGAAGAGTAATCCGTGAGTGCAGAGTCAGCAATAAATCCTGAGCACCACTGGGTGCGGATCCCAAACCCAAAATAAGTAAAAGCAAATAAGAAAGCATCCGGAGAGGAAACAAAGACTTTTGGAAAATACAAATCCAAGAAGCTTCTTGGACTTGCCACCCAACAACTCATAATGTCAAAGCCCTAAGATCTTTGCTCCAAATTTACAGATGATGAAGTAGTGACCCCAGCAACTTCACTCACCCCACTGGACATGCATCTGTGCCTGGTTCGGGTCAAAGGGCATCAGATATGGCTCTTTCCCTCCACACACACCCACAGACACAGACTTTCCCCAAGTACTTTGTCTTCCAGGGAGGAAAAAACTTGGAGCTACAGTCTCTGTCTTGACAAGTCAAGATGACAGCTCAGTGAGCCCAGCATGGGATCGTTCCAATCTGAATGACAAGGCAACTGAGGTTCAGAGAGGTAAAGCAACTGGTGAGGATGCACCCAGAGGGCAAGCAACACAGCAAGAACTGGGTCTCTCTACCGCCTCACTCCCCAGCCCGCAGTTAAGAGCAGGCAAAGACAGCTCTGGACATTGAGTTTGCTGTCGATATCTGTGGCTCAGCCAGGAAAGGTTTGTGGAGGAGAACCACCTGGATCAAGTCTGGACATTTCTGTGGAGTGAGGCGGGGAGGGAAGAGAGAGCTGGGGGTCTTGATTGGCTGCACCATTATGGACACCAGTGAGGGTTTCCAGTCTGGAACCCTACAGCCCAGGTTCTCAGCTGAAGGCTTCCCAGTCAGTGCCCACTGCTCTCTCGTTGCAGGAGAGAGAGCAGCGTGGGTAAGGTGCTAGACTTGCATGCGGCTGGCCTGGAGAAAGGAAGGGATGGAGAAAGGAGGGGAGAGGATAGAAGAAGAAGGGAAAGGAGGAGAGAAGGGGGTCCAGAGAAGCAGTCAGAGAGATCTGCCCCATCAGAGTCCTTGAAGATCTGTTTTATACTGTCTCTGCTTGGTTTCTGTTGTTGTTTTCAGTGTGTGTGTGTTTTCATTGTGTGTGTGTGTGCGCGCGCACGCGCGTGTGTGTGTGTGTGTATGTATGTTGGGGTATGGGCTGGGCAAAAATACTCAGGGATATAACTGGGGTCAGCTGTGCACAAGGCAAGCACTCTAACTTCTCTGCTATCTCTCTGGTCCCATTTGTTTACTTTTTTCTTTGCAGAGTGCTCCCAAGTGAGTGCTTAAGGGACACTGGGGCCACTCCTAGTGATATTCAGCCAATCAGGCTGGAGTTCAGTGTAAGATGTGAGGATGTGATGCTCCTTGGATATGCATGTAGTTCCCAGGATCTTTCAAAGCTATACTTGGTGATGCTCAGGCAGGGGAGGGAGGGTGTTGGGAACTAAGCCCAGGTCAGGCACATGCAAGGCCTGTGTGCCAACGCATGTACTATCTCAAAGATCTGCTTACTTTCACGCCAATTTCAGCTTCCGTTTCCATTCAGGCTGTCAAAGTGAGAGTGGCAATCTGAGCAATGCTATACTGTGTATTTATTTTTTAAGAAGATGATTTTTTTTTTTTGCGGGGGGCAGCTTTCTCGGTCACACCTGGCCATGCTCAGGCTTACTCCTGCCTCTGTACTCAGGAATCACTTCTGGCAGTGCTCGGGGGATCATATGGGATGCCGGGGATTGAACCTGGGTCGGCCGCATGCAAGGCAAACTTCCTACTCACTGTGCTATCGCTCAGACCCCAATATGGTGTCTTTCATGGGGGTGGAGACAGTGAGAACATTTTCAGTGGGAAAGGGACTGTTTTCTTTCTTCCATCTTTGTTGGGGCTGTGGTTTGGGCCACACAGGAGGGATTATTGCTGGCACTCTGGCAGCACCTGGGGGAGACCCTGTGCAGTGCTGGGAACTGAACCAAATTGGGCAGCCTGCAACACAAGCACTTGAATCCCTGTACTAGCTGTCTGGCTCCAAGGCACTGTTTCCCAAAGCCCAGCTCAAAATTTCCCTGTAAATGGGAAAACATCAAATGCAAAGCCACAGCAGAAGCATCGGTGCTCTGGAAAAATCTGCCTGGTCCCTGCGCTCTGCACTCAGGGGGCCTGGGTCCCATCCTCACCTTCGCCCCACTCCTCACATCAGTTCCCAGACAATCCCCAGGGGTCGGCTGTTCAGGGGGAAGTGCCGACTTTGGCATGAGCACCAGCCGTTCCTCGAAGCATCAGACTGGGAGAAGCAACTCAAGGGTTCGGCCCACGCCCCTCAGAAAGGACCCGTAGCCCTGCAGGAAGAGAGTTGCCCCTGTGCTGTCCAGGACAGGCTCTGAATAAGCAGAAATCTGCTCTGCCGGGGAAATTGCTCATCGGAGCCGAAGCTAAACGCAGCTGACCTGGAACAGATGCTCCTTCACGGCCCACTTGGAGTCCCCAGGTCCAGCAGGCGGGGCTGCGAATGGGGAGGTGCTTGGGCTGGCATCAAGCGACCACGAGCCTGCACCACGCATGCCCAGAGCTTCCTCTTTGCTTAGCTTGTTTCATGCTCTCAAAAACCGTGGCCAATGAGTATTTTGGTTTGGTTTTGTTTCGTTTTGGAACTACACCCAGCGATGCCCACGGCTCACCCACCCCTGGCTCTGAGCTCAAGGATCACTCCTGGTGGGGCTCAGGGTACCAGGTGGGATGATGGAGATCAAACCTGGGTCAGCTGCGTGCAAAGTAGTACTGTTGTACTAGTTCTCTGGCCCCATCTTCCATTTTTAAAGATAAAAATAAAAGCCCAATTCATTTGTGTTATATAAAAATAATATATCTTAGAAGACTAATATCCATGGCCAGGGAAAACAGGGGCTAGGAGGACTGGTCAATGGTTGGAACTAACCACAAGTGTGTATAGGGCTGAGGGTAGGTAAGATAGAGAAGAGACCAGTATGACAGTAATGGCTGGAAATGATCACGCTGGACAAGATCCGAAGGTTAAGAGTAGGTCAAGGGATAATGCATGATAACCTTTCAGTATCAATATTATAAACCACAATGCCCCAAAGGAGAGGGAGACAGAGAAACAGACAGAGAGACACACAGACACAGAGGCAAAGAGAGAGAGGAAAGAGACAGAGACAGAGACACATAGAAAGAGACAGAGACAAAGAGAGAGGAGAGAGAGAGAGAGAGAGAGAGAGAGAGAGAGAGAGAGAGAGGAGAAGCACCTGCCATAGAAGCAGGCAGGGGGTGTGGGGGTGATGGGAGGGAACCTGGGGACACGTGCTGGGAAATTTACACAGGTGGAGGGATGGGTGTTGGAATACTATGAGTGAAATCCAATATGAACAGCTTTGTAAGGGTCTATCTCACAGTGATCCAATAAAAAAGATCTGTCTGTCTGTCTATCTATCTATCTATCTATCTATCTATCTATCTATCTATATCTGCCCAGAGTTTCAGAGGAAGTTGCTCAAGATGCCAAATCCAGGAGCTGGGGGATAGTACCCAGTGGGGGTTTCACTGTTGGGGTTTCACTCTGGTCACCACGTGGCCCTTGATAGGTACAGCTCTCGAGGGTACTGGACACTGGAGGGGTGGCCCACAGAACCCCAGCACTGCAGGGCCTGAACAGCATGAAATGATCAGCCTAGCTGGCCAAGACTAGCAGCCGGGGCCCCAGGTCTCAGCTTGGGGGTACCCCTCAATCAAGACCAGGCACCTGGGAAGTGCAAGGGCCAAGATTTGCAAAGAATCTCTTGCAAAGAATCTCCCCCCTCTCTCACTGAATTCTTGACACAGGGGTTTCAAACCCAAATGCCCAAAGCTGCCCTGCGTGACACCTATAATAGCCCAGGCTCTGTGTGATTTACCTGCATCAACTCATTCACTGACGAAAGGACTCTCCCCAGATCCCATCATCACCTTCCCCAGCCCACCCCAGACAGAGGAGGCCGAGTGACTTCCCTGCCGTCTCAGGGCAAAAGGCTGTGACTGGGATTTGCGTCTCACTGGGACCTTTTTCCAAGTTCAAAAGGGCGCACCCTGGATAAAAAGGGCATTGGCCCCCAACACAGCTCACGAACGCTTGGCGGGAAAGGATGGGCACAGCCAGATCAGAGTTTTCCTCTTGCTCTCGAAGCCCCGGTTCTCCCTTGAACAGCAGGGCTTCCTGCTCACTTTTCTCTGTCTCTCTGCTTCTCTGCTTGCTTTTCAAGCTGGTGTCTTTCCTGAACACATTATTTCCTCTCTTTCCTCCCCCCCCCCCCATGTCTTTCTATGTTAATTTCATTCAATAAAATCCATCTTGCTTCACCAAAAAAATTTTTTTTAAAGGATCAGCATTTTTATGGGCAACAGCAAACGGATGTTTCTGGTTCTGGGTGATTCCCTGAACATTGCTCAACCACCAGGTCTGGGAAGAGCCTTCTCCTTCTGTGGCCCAGGGCTCCAGGCCCCAACCTGTGGCCTTTTCTCCAAACGTATCTGGGGGGTCCCTTCCCGTGCTTCATTTCTCACCTTTCCCCTGTCGATTATCCCCTGAAAACTGATTTCGGCCACGTCGCATAGAGACGATTACCAGCTCCCTGTTTTCCTGGGGACATTTGCATCCCGAGCAGAGCTCAGACTCACGCTTGGCCTCCGTTAGAGCAGAAGCGGCCACGGCACAGGTGCTCCTGTCCAGAGAGAGCCGCTATTCTTGCCCTCTGCCATCCGTAGGGCTGGGGGAGGTGCTAGACATCTGCTGCTTTTCCAAGGCTTATGCAGACATAGCGGTGGAGTGAGGGTTGGGGTGGGGGGAATGCTGTATGGGGCCCCTTGGAATGTACCTACATCTCTCCTCAAGGCAGTTCCCTGGAACTTGGAGGAGGATTCCAAGGCACCGCTTTAATTCTCTTTATCAGAGTGAAAAGCTGCCAGTTTGAAGCTAAATGGGGCCGTGTGTGTGTGTGTGTGTGTGTGTGTGTGTGTGTGTGTGTGTGTTTATGTGTGTGTATGGAGGGCAGGAGGCTGGCGCTCCAAGCAGTGCTCAGAAGACCCAGAGTTCATCCAGTAATTCTCAGTCAACCAGGCATAAGTGTTCAGAGCACGGGTTCGAGGAGGTAACACTGCTCCAGCCCTGTGGTGTCGGGGATACCCAGTATCACTGTGACAGTGCTTGGGGAACTCCAGGATTGCAACTGGCAAGGCTTAGGGGACCCCGCGGTGCTGGGAATGGACCCACAGCTGGGCGTGCGCCCTCCCTGCTGTCTCTCTCCCAGCCCCTGACTGGGCCTCTTATCAGGGTGGCCTCTGACCTAGAAGAGGCTTTCCAGTGATGTCTTTAGGTCAGAGGGGCCAAGCAGCAACTTTGGGGCTGCACTTTGCAGGGTTGGGAGTGCTACAAAGAGATGCTCAGGGGATACAGGGCTACTCTCCGCGATTTGCAGCCACCTGCACCAGACAGTTCAATGCAAAGTCCCGAGGATTAGGTACTGCTGGGTGCCGGGGCCACAAAGAGGTCGGGATCAAACCGGGGCTAACTCCCTGGCCCCCAGAGCAGCGCACTTGTAGGTAGAGGTTTCCAAGTGACACGGGGACTCTTAAAATAAAGACACCCAGACTGAATCCAAGGGAACGCGTAACACACTCAGAAACGGCCCTTCCAGCTCTTCAGGACCACCGGAGGGCCTCGGCCGCGAGGACCAGCTATCTCCAGCGCCACCCGCAGCGCCCCTGGAGCATGTCTGGCTCCTCACAAGGTGCAAATGAAGTCAGCCAGGGCGCGGGCAGGCAGGCAGGCAGGCGCCCTCAACTCCCCACGCAGCAGCGTGTGGCTCCCCAGGGCATGCGCAGGTGTGCAGGGGGAGAGCCGGGGGTTTCAAGTCAGTGTATCCCCAGATCCCCTACAGCAACGCTCAGTGGGACTTTCTCAGTACTCAGGTTGAGGCTGAGCATTGGCTGGAGGATGCCGGCTACAGGGCAGGAGAGGATGCCAGCCCGCAGACCTGCCTCTCAGACCTTCTGCCCAGTGCCCAGGCTCTTGAGCAGAGCCTCTGCTCGCTCCATTCAGGCCTTCAGCATCCTCCTGAGCTGGGGCCCAGCCAGCACCGTTCGGCTGCAATCCAGCCTCTTGGCTTTGTGCGGGTGGGAAGAGTCGCCCTTTCTGCCCCAGGAAGGTGCAGCCCGGGCATATGAGTGTGGGGTGCAGCGGGGTTTGGTGCAAACTCTCTCCCTCCCTGCTGCATGATAGGACCTCAGGCACGGTTCTGCACAGGCGCCCGCTGGGAGAGGCTTGCTCACTCACCCCTTTGCAGATGGCCACGGCCTCCTTGGACATGGACTTGGGGTACGCCACGTTGTGCTCCATGATGGACTGGAAGAGCTCGTCCTCATCTTCCCCTTCGAATGGCGCCTGTGAAACAGAGGAGGGTGGAAGACAAGTGGTCCTGCCTCAGCCCCCACACTGCAAACCCACAGGCCCTCCCTCCACGGGGTCCACAGAGAGGCCATGCCCAGGGCTTCTGGGAAGAAGACAAGGAACACAAGTTCATTGCTTAGGGCAGCCCCCCAAGACTGGTACGTGGGCAGGTTCAGATGTTCGAGCTGATGTGTTTGTTCCAAGAAGCCCAGTGGGGCGGAGGGGAGGACTCTTCTGGCCAATAGCTTCCAACCCAATTACCTGGCCGGCCAGCATCTCGTACAGCAGCACTCCAAAGGCCCACCAATCCACAGACTTCCCGTAGGGCTGGTACGCAATGATCTGGAAAGCAGAAGGCGGCCATCAGCGGGCTCCCGCCCCCCGGCCTGGCGCCCAAGATGGGGCAGGACCCAGGAGGCAGCCTGGTTGCAGGCTTGGTGTGAAAGAGGTGACTGGACACCCATGGACTGCAGCTCTTTGCTTCCCCTACATGCTGGACAGCCTTCCCCAAGGGACCTGTGGATGGGTACCTATGTTTGAAGCTCATGGGCTTCTCTTTTTTCTCTTCTCTTTACTTTTAGCTTTTTTGGGCCACACCTGGCGATGCTCAGACGTCATTCTTGGCTCTGCACTCAGGAATTACTCCTGGTGGGGCCTGGGGGACCGTATGGGAAGCCGGGGATCGAACCCAGTTGGCCTCATGCAAGGCAAATGCCTTCCCCGCTGTGCTATCGCTCTGGCCCCTCATGTGGCCTGTGTGATGTTGGTTTTCATTTGAACTCAGCAAGGGCGGCCTTTGGAGGAAGAAGAGCTGCCTGATTCTCACTGCACTGATCCTAACAGTCACACAACAACACGGACACTCCCAGCACTGCATGAACAAAACTTGGAATAGGCTATCCCATACCTTTGATGTTCTTTTACCACAAGGAAGACAATTTAGGTAGTTACTGATGCAATCCCATGCAATATGATTTATTTAGAAATATGGCTAGGAGGCTAGGGATTAAGAGAATACAGTTAAAACTACCCATGATTCTTTCTCGAGAGAAAAATGATGGTGATGATCTGGGCAATCTCCTCCTAGAATCTTTTCTATTGTTTCATATTAATTCCACTTGTGGGAGCCAGAGAGATAGTAGAGTGGGTGGGGTACTTGACTCGTATGCAGCCAACCTGGGTTCGATCCCTAGCACCCCATACCCATATGATCTCCTGAGCCCTACCAAGAGTGATCCCTAAGCCAGGAGTAAGCCTCAAGCACCACAAGGTGGGAACTAAAAATATCCCCACAAAACCTTCCAAAAGGAGAGAGAGAGAGAGAGAGAGAGAGAGAGAGAGAGAGAAGAAAAGGGTGGCAGGAGGGATACGGGGGACACTGGTGGTGGGAAATGTACACTGGTGGAGGGATGGATGTTGGAACATTGTATGACTAAAACCTGATCATAAAAGCTTTGTAACTATCTCAAGGTGATTAAATAAAAAAAAATTCAAAACACCAAAAAGCCCAAACAAAAAAGAACATATTAACTCTACCTGTATGAATGAGTTTTACTGATATTCCTTTATATAAGGTAAAGGCCCTCCCGTTGATCGTCGATTTGCTCGAGCGGGCCCAGTAACGTCTCCATTGGAGACTTTGTTGTTACTGTGTCTGGCATATCGAATACTCTCGGTAGCTTGCCGGGCTCTCCGAGAGGGGCGGAGGAATCGAACTCGGGTCGGCCATGTTGGCCGCTTGTAAGGCAAACGCCCTACCGCTGTGCTATCGCTCCAGCCCAAAGGTAAAGGCCCTCCCGTTGATCGTCGATTTGCTCGAGCGGGCCCAGTAACGTCTCCACTGGAGACTTTGCTGTTACTGTGTCTGGCATATCAAATACTCTCGGTAGCTTGCCGGGCTCTCCGAGAGGGGCGGAGGAATCGAACTCGGGGCGGCCATGTTGGCCGCTTGTAAGGCGAACGCCCTACCGCTGTGCTATATATGGGCCTTTAATGAAGCATTTTATTCACATAAACTTTCCATGCTAATATTTGCACCCTGATCCCTCTGTTTCTAACCTCTGCATTATATTTCACCAAAACCCCAAAGTCTATTTTATCAATTTTATCTATTTTATCAATTCACCATTGTCATCTTTTGAGATGACAACATTGATCCATGTCATCAGGTATCTGGACACTTATGTCCTGAGGATGTATTCCAAGACATGGAACGGATGAGTCACTGGGTACAGGTGCTGTAAAGAACTGCATGGCTAAGCCCAGGATTTCCACATCCGCCAGGATGTGACACGGGAAACCAGGAGGCTCAAAGGTGCCAGAGCACAGGTCTGAGGCCAGAGCCCGAGGGTCTGATGGCCTAGACTTGAATCATGCCTCAGTTTCCCAGGGCAGGAAATACATGCCTCAGACTGTTAGCCAGGGGGCAAAGACACAGCCGAGCAGGCAGGCATTTGTCTCGCATGCGGCTGACTCGAGTTCTATCCCTGGCACCATACGTGGTTCTCTGAGACAGGAGTGACCCCTGAGCACCAAACCGGGAGTAAACCCTGACCACCAACTTCTCCCAACCCTAAAAAATAATCTCATTATTGAGTCACACAAAGTTCTGTGGCTAGCGATAGCTTGTTCTGTTCAGCCCAAGTGTCTGCACAGGCCCAGCTGTGGTACCCTGAAGGCCAGGTACTGGGCCCTCTCCCACCTCCCTCCTCCCTAAGTTCCCTTGGAGGAGAACTAACAGCCCAGCCAGGGAAGGCAGAGAGCAGTGCTGCTTGCAGCCAACACTTCTCCTTGAAAGTGTTTTCACAGTTTTAAAGTACTTCATGTCTTCTTTGATCCTCCTGACAGCCTAACAAGTTAATCCTCTGACAAAAGGAAAACAGAGCCTGAGGAGACAAGAGGAGTGGCCGGGGCTGGGCTGGCGGCTCTTGGCGCAGTCCCAAGGACAGTCTGGCCTGAGGCCCCGTGTTCCCCTCAGGGGTCCCAAGAAGAAACAGTGCCAATGGACTCCAGCCAAGCCCAGACACACTTTCCACCCTGCGGGTTCTGACTGGACCAGACCGGACTGGGCTGGTCTGAGGGAGGCTGGAAATGTCCCAAGCAGCACTCAGGGGACTGAACAAAGTGAAGCAGGGGCCAGAACTAAGATCCTGGGACCAGCTCAGGGCAGACCCAGAGACTGTGGGCTATCTCCTGAGTCATGAACAGAATGAGCAGGAGCCCAGATGCGCGTCAGGACAGCCCCACTGAGTCCTAACAAAGGACTCTTTTTTTTCTTAGAAAGGATTACTCTATTTTTTATTTTTTAAAAAATGAATCACTCTGATATAGTTACAAAGCTTTCCTGGCCGGTCTCAGTCATACAGTGTTCTAACACCCATCCCTCTACCAGTGTATATTTCCCATCATCAATATTCCCCGTATCCCTTCTGCTTCCCCCCCCCCCCCCCACACCAGCCTACCAGCCTGCAGCCTGCTGCTATGGCAGGCACTTTTCCTTTTCTTCTCTGTCTGTCTGTCTGTCTGTCTGTCTGTCTGTCTGTCTCTGTCTTCTCTCTCCTCCCCCACCTCTTCTTTTGGGCATCATGGTTTGCAATTCAGATACTGAGAGGCCATCGTGTTTGGTCCTTTGCCCACTTTCAGCACGCATCTCCCATCCAGAGCTATCCCTTCCAACCATCCTTGTCACCGTGGTCCCTTCTCTATCCCAACTGCTCTCTCCCTCATCCCTTCCAGCCGTGGAACAATCCCCTGGCACTTGTTTCTATTGACCTTGTGAGAGCCAACAAGGTGGGCTCAAACTGTTTTTTTTATATCCCACAAATGAGTGCAGTCATTCTATGTCTGTCCCTCTCCGTCTCACTTATTTCACTCAGCATGATACTCTCCATGTCCATTCACTTATAGGCAAATTTCATGACTTCATTTTTCCCAATGGCTGTACAGTATTCTATTGTATAGATGTACCATAGTTTCTTTAACGAGTTGTCTGTTCTCAGGCATTCTGATTGTTTCAAATTCTGACTAATGTGATAAAGGATTACTTAAAAAAAATAAGACTCCACCTCCAGCACTCCTGAAGGCTGGGCGTAGTGGGGAGGAGGGTGGGGGCTGGGGTCCTTCCTGGTGGAGTTCAGCCACCAGAGTGTACCTGATGTTCAGTTCAGTGCTTGAGTCCAGGATACTGTGAGGGGAGCACCAGGGCTACCCCCTGTGGTGCTCAGGGTCCCACTAAGTACTAGGGATAAAACTCCAGGTTAGCACTGGAAGGATGACTTTTTATTAGTGGGACAGGGGAGTTGGGTCACACCATCCCAGTGCTTGGGGGGCCATTCTTGGTTTTGCCATGCTCGGAAGAGACCCCAGGTTGTGCTTGGAACCCTATGTGGCGTTGGTGGCACGCAAGGCAAGGGCTTTAACCCCTGTCCTATTTCTCTAGCCCCACAGATGACTTTTTAAATCATTCAAACCATAGACAAATTCATTTGCCTTGTGGGAAATGTAAATACTAGATAGATTGAGCTAAATTTCACTTTACTGTGCCGTTCTCCTTGGAGGTACTCATGTTCTAAAATTCGTATGTAATCCTTCTTGTGTTGGGGTTTTACTGGTAGATACGCTTCCTGAGAGAACCCCGGGCCAGCTTCGTGGATTCTCATTTTCTATTCATGTTCTCTTTTCTCATTTATCATTACCGTGCGTTTCTTTGGCAGCCAGTCACGAAGGCCTTTCCACAGAAGCATCACTCTCAGGTGGCTCTGCCACATACAGCCCATGCCCCCTCAGTCCCCTGTCGACAGACACGCACACCACACAGAGACATTCTGCCATCTCTGTCAGGGCTGTGAGTGGGTACCGACAGAAGGCCACATAAAGCTCTCCAGCACCGGCTTGATCGGTAGCCACGTGACTATCTCCGACTTCCCACTATTAAAACTTGTGTAGCAAGGAAGGACCTGTGTTTTACATGTGTTGTGTGCCTCTGGGTCTTGCCAACCAGCCTCTGAGAGGCTTGAGTGAAGAAAACCATCTTCCCTCCCCCAGTCCCTTCCCCCTACCCCCCAAGACTCTAACTCCAGGGATATCCAGAAAAGAGAAGTCCTGAAACATCCAAAAACCAGGTCTTCGGACTCTTTCCTTTAGAAAGTCCTGGAACACACTGTCTCTGAGGCAATGTGGGAACCCCTGGGGGCAGTGGCTCTGCCACTGCCAACTTTCTCAGTGAGTGGCAGAAACAGTCAAAGGATGTCTCTGTTGTTCATCTCATTGACAGCCAAGACCAGGAAGGAAAATACCGTCCCGAGATCAGCGTGCCACCAGCAACACCTTCCAATCCACAGACCCTACATCATACATCGGCCTTGGGGACATCTCCCATCTCTCCACTCTCTCCTACAAACATATCCACATCCTTCTTGGGGGCTATCAGGTGGCCCTGAGTCACAGTGGCCTGATACAGAAGGTCCCCCCAGGGGTTCTGACTCATTCTTTTTTATTTATTTATTTATTTATTTATTTTTTGCTTTTTGGATCACACCCAGCGATGCTCAGGGGTTACTCCTGGATCATGCACTCAGGAATTACTCCTGGAGGTGCTCGGGGGACCATATGGGATGCTGGGAATAGAACCTGGGTCAGCCGTATGCAAGGCAAACGCCCTACCTGCTGTACTATTGCTCTAGCCCCCCTGCCTGGTTCTTTTGAGTTGTATTTAAGCCTTCTCCCAAACCTTGATTGATGCCTTTTCGGCCTGAGCCTCTGAACACAGGTGAAGCTGATTAGTGGGCGTGATCTCCAAGGAACACTTTCGAGAAGACTGTGATGGGATTGCCAAGCTCTTATCCTTCACTCCCGACCTTGGCCAGCTCTGACCAGAACGTGACCTTGCACCATCCCCTCCCTGCCCCTGTGCTCACCTCGGGGGCGATGTAGTCAGGGGTGCCACAAAACGTCTTGGTGGTCACCCCATCCCAGATGTTCTCTTTGCACATGCCGAAGTCAGCAATCTTGATGTGGCCCTCCGAGTCCAGCATCACGTTGTCAAGTTTGAGGTCGCTATGGGGACAGAATTGGGGGAGTCAGTTCTAGGCAGCATATGGACAATGGTGGGGCAGTGAGGAGCTTCTGAGGGTCGGTGGGGTGTGTGTGAAGAGCCTTACCCTTTGATAGCTGAAATCATGGCAGGGAACAGGGAAGGGACCTCCAGCCTCTGCGCCTGCCTTGTCTCCAAAACCAAGCGTCTCACAAGGAGCCTTGGGAGCTCCCACAGAAAGCTGATCCGATACAGGATCCACTGAGACTTTCTTTGTCTTGGGGAGTTTGGGGGTGGGGGGCTTCTCAGCAGTGCCTAGGGGACTCAGGAGCCCCTCCCTGCAAATCTCAGTTTTCTGTAGACTTCTCAGTCCCCTCACCACTCCCCTCCCCCCAACACCCACACCCGGAACCAACTAGGGTCATTCACAATTCCACAGTCACTGTGTCCTTCTGATTCAAGGTCTTGGGTGAGAGGGATGAGTATTTGGGAGGTGCCATTCTAGGTGCCGGAGGATTGATAGTACCTGGCATTTTGTATGGTAAGAGATAAATTCTGTTCCCCCACATAAATTCAGTTCAGGAACACTTCAGTAGCTTGAGTGACTGAAGTTCCCTTAACACACACATATACACATACACATACACATACACACACACAGAGAGAGAGAGAGAGAGAGAGAGAGAGAGAGAGAGAGAGAGAGAGAAATCGTGGAAGAAGGAAAGAGTCAGCTTGGCTTCAGCACTTGAAATACTAGTCTCTGCATTTTCTGAGGAAGGTTACTGCCCCTTATCCAATCCCAGACCCCAATCCAGCTCCCTGTGAGCTCTGAATCCCAGCCAAGTTGATAGGAACTACTCAAATGACTTCTGTTTTCTTTCTGAGGACTGATATTTTTTTCTCCATAATTTTGAAGTCCAATGCTGAATCTCAGCCACCTTGAGTGACGAAGTTCCTTCTAAGTGGATGCCTATCTACAGGGTTAGGTCTAAAAGTCAGCACAGAAGGTAGAACTCACGGGGGCTAGAGCCATGCCAGGTACTATGACTAGAACACCTGGGGGCACTAGTAAGTACAGCCAGTGGGAGGCTTGCCTTGCCTGTGGCTGACCTGGGTTTGATCCCCGACACACCAGATGGTTCCCCAATCAAACATGGTCAGGAATGATCCCTGAGAGCAGAGTCAGGAGTAAAACCTGAGCACTGCCGAGTGTGGCCACCAAACCAAAGTCATGTCAAGGTTCCCATGAGCCCACTTTCTTGAGTTCTATCCCACTGAAGTCAGTGGTTTGAATGGCAGCATACAGGAGAGAAATAGTTGATGTGTGTGTGTCTGCGCGTGCATACCTTTCAACATCAGAATTTCCATGGGAACCCCAAGATACTCCCACTATGAAGTCAACAGGACAGCTTAGAGAGGGAGAGGGTCAGATCCAGGGTCACACTGGCACTGGGACAGGTCACTGAGGGTCAGCCTGGGCAATGACCATGCTACTTAAGTTCCTTTTCTGATCACCCTTCCTAGTTCCTTACTGGGATCCCCCATATGTCAAGTCCAATTACTCCTCTCTCTGACCTCCTATGCTCCATCTGGAGTAAACAGACAGGGTGGGGGACATGGGGCACCCACAATAAGATGGTTCATCCTACACTGATTTCCTGTTCCCACATGAAGGAGAGAGAAAAGAAAAACATTACCCACCCCCCTCTCACCCCAGGATTCCACAAGCTTCTGGCAAATGCACCCACACCCTTCCACTCCCCATCAGCCCAGCACCTATGTCCTCACCAGTACAAACTGCCCAGGACACCCAGGACAAATCTTTACGTCTTTTAGTCTCAGATGCTTCAGTTTGGACACCCCAAGTCTCCAGGCCCCAAGAAAGCCCCTGCTCATCAGGGAATGACAACCAGCCCTCAGCACCTCACAGACCACAGACCCCTACCCTGGTTGATCGCCCCCCACCCCCAACCTGGAGCTCCCACCCTTGTCACTACTTGGCCAACTGTAGGATTTGCATATGCCTAATTTACATATGTTGATTTTAATGTACAGAGCTGCCTCCCACTCCTAGAACATCAGTTCCGTGAAGGCAGAAGGGTTTTGTCTGTTTCCTTCATTGTCATTTCCCCACAAGCACCACACCCATTACAGGTTCCTGATGAATGTCTGTCCAATCAATGAGTGAAATGGCCTTTCTGGCTCTTCGTGATCTTTGAAACAGCCCCTCGGCTGCGCCAAGTGCCCTCTTGAAGCCTCTGCCAATCCTTCTTGCATAACCGCTCCACCCTGGCCTGTGCGCTCTCTGCCATTTGCCTCCGAGTGGTGTAAGAATCTCCACTCTGGTCTCACTGACAAATAGCAGCCCCAGGCTCAGTCGTCTGCTCGGCATGAAATATAAAGTGGAATGACTCATACAGCTCTCATCATAGACTTGCTCCTCCAAAAATGGGCAAATGCCAAGTCCTGAACTTAATCCCATCTTTCAGGGCCAGCTATTCAGAGATCCATTTCTAAATTACAGTTACAGAAAATAAAACCCAAACCAAACTTATTTGTTTCATCATATTCTGATCCATCCCATTCTGCCAGCTCAGATTCTTGGCTTGGTTTCCCTAAGCCCTCCCCCATCCATTCCCACGTGGGGTCCACAGGTAAGAGAAAGACGTGCTGGTGACCCTCCTGCTTCGAGACCGTCTCGGGCTGCAGGTTCGGAACCATTCATGTTGGCGGAGTCTGTGGAGCTCTACCACCGGGCACAGTGGGTCCTAACGGTGCCAGGGTAGTGGGCGATGCTGCCTGGCAGAGCACATGCCCAAGTTAGTGCCGGAGGATTCCTCCCCCAGCAGAGAATCTAATTTTAAAAGCAGTTAAAGAAAGAGGCAAAGCGGGGAGGAGTGGAGGGAGTGGAGGGGACAGAAAGCCCCGTTCTATTCGCTTACCGGTAAATGATGCCTTTGCTCTGCAAGAAGAACAGCCCGATGGCGATCTCTGCCGCGTAAAACCTACAATCCAGACAAGAGAAGGAGTGAGGGAGCGACTCAAGACAGCACGTGTGCGGCAACCCCCGAATTCAACACCATCCTCACAGAGCCCACCCGGGGTGGTTAGCCACACTTATCCAATGAAGAGTGGGCGTGGGAAAGGAGATGAAGGGCAGAGAGGTTTATGAGGCTTCATGAGGGACCAACTGGGAATGGGCAGTTTGGCAACCATCAAGGTTATGGGAAGGAAGTACGGGATACAATGAGGTGGGGATGGAAAATGGTAGATGATGCCAAGCTAAAATACCTAATAACAGCTACTCTCGACAGAGGGTCCACCAACCTAGCCCTGTTTTGGTTTTTATTTGGGGGGGTTGGAGTGGAGGGTCATACCTGGTGAAGCTCAGGGGTCACTCCTCGCTCCGCACTCAGGAATTACTCCTGACAGTGCTCGGAGGACCAGATAGGATGCTGGGGATCGAACCTGGGTCAGCTTCATGCAAGATAAGCACCCAACCTGCCGTATGATCGCTCCAGCCCAACCTTGAACCTTTATAGGTAATCTGACTAAACCCTAGCAGCAATGGTACAGGTCCTATTTGTACTTCCTTCTTCCTTCAGTGAGGTAGCTGAGGGTCCATGTCAGGAAATAACTTGGCCAACTTTTATGGCTGGAGCGCAGTTTCTCTCTCAAGGGCAAGCTCCGAGGGAAGGTGGAGAGAAGGAGAGGCTTGGAAGGAATGAGGAAGCCCAGCCCCACCACAAGCTCTGGGCAGGACTTTGGGGCCGAGGGACCCACTAGAATGCCACTGTGTTGAGAATGACTAAGGCCCGGCAGAAATGAGATGACAGAAGTTCAACTTGGTGGTCTCGTTAGAATTATACCAAGGTCCATGAGAGATGACTTGGAAGAACAAGAACGTGGAAAGCTCTTGATGCCAGGAGAGAGTCTGGGGATGGGGGCCTATGACCCAGGTTCTATCCCACACACCTCACAGCCACCTGAGCATTACCAAGGATAGCCCTGGAGCCACCAGCCACCCCTGGTGGTCCCAGAACCACAGGGTCCAAATAGCACTACATCATCAGGGCCTTGCATTAAGCTGTCCGTCCAGTTGGGGCCAGGAGTGCTGCAGGGCCCTCAGACCATTGTTTAGGAGGTACTGCCCCAACTTACCATATACACACAGTTCATTAACTTATAAAATGCAAACCCTGTCAGAATCGAGTGCTTCTAACCTGGCACAAGGTGGTGGCCAGGGAGGGGACAGGATGGACTGAACAGAAGCCCAAAAGATTCTGGGTGCAGGGGGCAGCAAGGCTTTAGCAAAGTTCCTCAGAGGGGAGACCCCACTAATTCCTGAAGTCTTGGCTTGTTCCTGCCTGTCTCAGGGAGTCTAAGCCAGAGAGATACACACAACAGGCTGTTGTTTGGAAAGGAAGAGACTCACTGCCTTGCTCACGAGGGGCCGAATGGGCTCAGCAGGAGAAACACATTTCCCAAACCCAGCATCAGTCTTTTTTCTTTTTTCTTTTTCTTTTTGGGTCACACAGGGGTGTTGCACAGGGGTTACTCCTGACTCATGCACTCAGGAATTACTCCTGGCATTGCTCATTGGACCATATGGGATGCTGGGAATCAAACCCAGGTCGGCTTCGTGCAAGGCATATGCCTTACCCGCTGTGCTATCGCTCCAGGCCCCCAGCGTCAGTCTTGCCCATCGCAGGAGACACATGGCCCAGCGCACAGGCAGCCAGAGCCTTCAGATTCCTGGAGACAAGGCAGCTGAGAGGAGATCAGGCTGGGGATGTGAGCACAAGAGACTGACATCTGCCTGGTGCCAGCAACGAGACCCGAAGCAGGTTGCTACAAACTCCCTTGGGGCAAGGAGTACAACTCAGCTCAGGAGGACTTCCCTTGTCTGTGTGGGGCCCTGAATTTCATCTCTGGCACCGCAAAAAGAAAAATAAATAGAGGCCTAGGTTTTGGTCTTGGTTTCCTGTCTGTTGGGTGGAACACAAATGCGTCCTTCCCAGGGATGTCGTCCTGATTCAAGGGGTCAATATGAGTTAATGTGTTGCTTTTTGTTTCGGAGGTCATATGTGAGTAGTGCTCAGGGATTACTCCTGGCTCTGGGCTCAGGGATTACTTCTTGAGGGACTCAAGCAGCCATATGGGATGCTTGGGGATCAAACCAGGGTTGGGATGTGCAAGGTGAGTAGCCTACCCATTGTGCTATCACTCCAGCCCAGGGGGCCAACGTCTGGAAGCATGGAGGGCCTGGCCTCAAGCAAACTTTCAGGAAGATTTGGCAAATATATCAAACTTATAATGACGTTTCTATTGTGTTTGCTTTTGTTTGTTTGTTTGGGGTCCAGAACCAGGGAGCTCAGGGATTACTCCTGGCGCTGCATTTAGGGATCACTCCTGGCAAGGCCCAGGAAACCTTATGAGGTGCTGGAATCTAGATTGTCTGTGTGTCAGGCAAGCACCTAATCCATGTACCATCCTAGACATTCCCCAAACAAGAGCCCATTCTCCATGGCATCTAGGGCAAGAATAAGAGACAAGAACACGCTAGGAGATTTTGAGGTTTAAATTCTCAATTGGCATCAGGAAAAAAAATATTTTAAAAAAGGACATTCCAGATTAAAGGAATATCCATTATCCTCAACCATTCATTCTTCATGAAGGTATACACAAGACATCTGACATCCCAATTCCACTAAGACTCCCATCCCTTGAACAATCCACACATGTCTCGTGAAGGCAAAGTGCAGGCCCAGCTCCCACTTACACGGCATGAGGCTCCTTAAACCGGCCCACTTGTTGGATGTGGTACATGAGGTCACCCCCATTCACGTATTCCATCACAAAGTACAAACGGTCCTGCAAGAAGAGAGCAAAGAGCGAAGTCAGTACCCAGGGGCTGGCTGGGCCCCAGTAGAAGAATAGTCACTAAACAAATGGGCAGTGGAGAGGCGAGGTGGCAGGGAGTGTGGAATCCACAGAACCGGAGGGAATGGTTTGATATGTTCTAGCTGGTGGGTTGGGGGAGGTAATTACTTTTTGGTTAGATTTACCATTTTGTAATTTAATCAATTGTGATTTATGCAGTTATTGATAGTTGAGTTTTTTGCATATAACGTGCTAGCTCCCATCCCACCATGAGTGGCAGCTACTGTCCACCCAAGTCCCCAGGTTCCCTCCCGTCTCCGAAGCCTGCCACCTCGACAGACACATTGTAAAGTTTGGTGGTTGGAGTTTTCATCTCCTGTCTCCAGTATGGTTGAGTCTACGGTTTGCACATGCCACTCTGGAGGAGGGTGGGGGGCTTTGGATTCCTGAGAGTGAGACTTGGCACCAAGGCTGAAGCAGGAATCCTATAACCAACTGATCTGAACTCTCTGGGTGACATTTAGCCTGAACAATGCTGCAAAATCAACGGGGATGGCAATACCTTGGGTCTGTGTCATTGCACTCTACATCTGCATGGTGAAATCATCCCACGAGTCATATCCCAGTTATGACACAGGGCATGACTGCCCTGGGTGGGTGAGCAATCCTGGATGATCCTACTTAGGGTCCTGTACCACTAGTTTTCCCTTTTCTGGTCAAATGGACCTATTCATTGGCTCCAGTTGAAACTCTGATGACAGATGGTGAATGATCCTACAGGCCATTGGCCGTCTACAAGGGCTTCAAATATCAGTGTTTGATTGTCTCCTTGCCTCTATCTGGCATGTGCCTGTCAAATGTGTGTTGACCGTTGAAGAATTAGAGTAACAGTCATCTGGTCACAGTGAAATCATGGCTCCCGTCCCATGAGCACATGGTGTGGACACGAAGCTAAGTGTCTTTATCTGTGTTGGTGAATTCATCTGCAGCCATCCAACACAATGACCAGGAGGCCCTTCCTGACCCTTTGGGAGGCATGCCAGTGCATGCTCCGAAGGGGGAAGACATGCACCCAGACTCACTCAGCAGGTGAGCTTCGGAGCTCGGCTCAGGTCATTCTGTTCCAGAGCCTCTCTTTCTGGGCCCTCTCTGGAGGCTGCCCCTTGTGGAAGGTTCTCAGCCAGAGGTCATGTGCAAATGTCAGTGTGTTCATCCTAAGAGGAGCTTAGATTAACCCATATCTTGGAAATGCTGAAGAACTTGCTGATAGTAAGTCTGATAGTACTTCATCCACTCACCCTGTCCAGCGAGGGGCAGAAGAAAGAGGCTAATCCCTCCCCCTGTTCTTGTCGTCCAAAGCCCGTGAGACATGCAAAAAGGTCACATCCCAATGAGTGGCAGAGCAGACAAAGTGAGCCAGAACTGCCAACACCCAGTGCTGGTTCTTTGTTGTTTTTTTCTTTTTTCCCTTTTTAATAGAAAACAAGCCTATAAATAGCATCTGTCTTTGCTGCACATTGAAGAGAACCAAAACACTTGCTTTTAAAAAATTATTTTTAAAACTAGCAGATGGCATCAGCCACAGAGAGCGAAATGAAGGAGAGATTTCACTTGCTGGCTTTCTGGTTGGGGGAACTCAACTCATCCTCCCGACTCGTTTGTCAGGAGCACTCCCTGGCCGGGAGCACCATGCCTTGCAGTCTGCTACTGTCGCTAACGGTCTCTGGGGAAGCCCTGAGATCTGGGAACTGGACGCGTCTGGCTGAGACATCCTAAGGCCTCTGTGGTGAAACACTCTGGCTGGCACCTCGCTGTCTGTTCACTTTCCAAACACACGTCATGGTGCCCAATCCATGCCAGGGAGCATTCTATAGCCAGAAATGCTGAGTGACTTCTCCATGGACTTACGCCACATCCTGGATTCCCCCAGACAAGAAGGTAGACCAGGGACATTTCCAAATGATCCCATTGCCCAAGACAGGCTAGGAGAGGATTTCTAGTGGTCTGTGGATCTAACTGTTTCCACTTTGATAGTTTTGTCTTTATGTTCAAGTGTCACATGAAAAAGAGAGCTAAAGGTTAAACCCTCTGATTGTGTAGTTACTGCTGGCTTAAAATTATAAATGTCTGCACTAGGAGACTCTGCATAAGGCCGCCAGTGCCAACTGTAGTTGACTTACATGCTGTTGCCAAGATCTCCACCATGTCTGTCTACCTCATTGACTAAAATTTCAAACTTATTTTGAAACATTTCAAACTTATTTCAAGAAGTTTTTGGTGAAATCACTGAAGGCGACTTTTAATGAAAAATAATAAAACTTCATACTAATTGTAATGAGAATTCATGGTCTCAGTACAAAAATTAATGTTTATCTGGAGTCTCACAAGCCCATGCTCTGGTCTGGCTTTGGTGCATCGATTTCTTAACTGATTTATTTCTAAAACAAATGCAATTTGTTCATGCACCACCAAGCCCATCTCCCACTCCAAAGGAAGGAACATCAGAATTCAGAAGACACAGCCAGAGGCAATGTAGAGCCAATCCTGAGGAGAAATGTGAAGTTTAGAATTTCTGTTGAGCATTTATTTTTCAGGTCTATTAGTTATTGCCAGGGGGAGAGGGGATGAAAAATATACAGGCTTTGTTCTCTGAGAATTCAGAATCTTGGTTACAACAATTAAACCACGAAAACCAGCTGTAATCTATAAAGGAATGCTGATAAAAGAAACTGCGTGAAAGACACCAAAACTTTGTTCTGGGGTTCTGGGAACTTCAGCTAATAAAATAGCTCTCAACCTCTCTCTCTCTTCCAATTCTTATTTAAGTCTTTCCTCCACAGTGCCCCGAAATTTGACTTTGTTCTCCACTCTTCCTACAAAGTCATTTCAAGACTTCAGAAGTACCTTTCGTAGTGCCACATGGAGTAGGTTGTGATTAGGACTAATTTCTGTACTCTCCTATGGGAAAATCAGAAGTATTTACTGAATCCAGGCACTTCGACCAATGTGGCTCTCCCCAACTTGCTCAATTGTCCAAAAGAGACTTGCCACTGCTTCAAGCTTCAACTCTCATCTCTCTGGGCTAATGAATCTTGACTTACATTTCTATCCTCTCCCTTTCTCCTCGGCTCCGCCAGCTCCAGCTGGCTCCAGGACGTTTCTACGTGGGTGTTCCACTGCCAACTCCAATTAAAAGCTCAGAAAGGCAAGCTCACCCTCTTTCTCTTCAAACTAGCCAGCCTGCTCAACTTCCAAAGCGTCTCTTCCAAATTGCCATTGTTATTGTCCCTCAGCTTCATTACACGCTGCTCTCGTTCCTTCATCATGAAACGACTTCAATTAACTTTAAATTCTCTAAATTCCCTCTCTCTCTGTCATCTCTCACAGTCAATCAGCAAATAAATAAAAATTGAATGTCTGTCCAGGATTCATATAAAACTGGCTGAATGGAATTTCCTGAAACGGGAGTGTAAGAGAACAATCTTATTTCAAACAATATGGTGGTGGGAAGGTATCGGAGTGGTGGGATTGGTGTTGTAATATTGAACGTACTCACTTATTGTGAACGACTTAATAAAAATAAAATTAAATTAAAAAAATAAAAATAAAACAGTGTTGGGAAGGCAAGTGCAGAAATCCTGGATGCATCCTAAAAGACACCCTTTTCTTCTTATCCCCGTTGGAAGTGAGTATGCATGGGGCTGACGGGAGTGTCAGGGGTACATCTGTGACTTTTTACTAAGATCCCATGAACCAAAGACATCAACAGTATGGATAACTAATTCTGCACATTGCTTTAAGGTGAGCTGCCATCAGAGGACCTTTCCAATGGCCTTCTATGATTTTCTAAGCTAACCCAGGGAATCCCTCCCACCACTGAATATTCTTTTCCCTGCCAGCATCTGTCTAGACTCTGTATGGACTCCCTTTGTCTCCTTGGATTCAAGATGGCATATCCACACCTGGCATAGCAAGAAGGTCTCCAATCCTATAGATACATCCCTTCTTCTCTTTATTGAAACATTATTTCAATGTAGTTTAGGTTAGTGTTCTGGAACCTTTTGACACCTGTGGGTGGACACCTGTCTTACAGAGCCATGGGCCAGCAGTAATTATCAAGGTGACAGAGCAATGATTTCCAACCTGCCTAAACATCAGAGGGGTGGTTGAAGACCATCAGGCTAGGCAACATGCTTACAACAGTGTCAGGATTTCTGGTTCTGATATAAAGTGGTGGCTACTCACAACCACCAAAGGGCACAAGATCTCCCGATCACTATCCTTAGGTTGCTTCTAAGTCTGCCTCGTCCTTCCTGCCCCCTCCCTCCCCAACAGCATAGCAAGCTCCACTTGATACAAGCCCTTCTTACAGGTTTCCATCAAGTTAGGGGAAGCCAATTCTCAGCTGATCAGGCCAGCCACAAAATGCCAGATCTGGGCAGAACCAACCAGAGCCTCTTCCTGGCCTGTATGAACTGCCCCTTGGCGGCTATGGGGTGGGGCTGACTGCAAGGGGGGGCTGCTCCTCTCGGTTCTGACCAGAAAGATTTTTAATTGTACATTTTAGTTCTTCATGGGGAATCAGGTTCATCTTTACCTTTGGGTTGTTTCCTTCTGATAGAACCCGTTGGTTATGCTTGTTGCTGTTTACATAAGACCATGAGCTAGTTTGGAGGGATTTGTTTCTTACAACCCAACTCGCACCAATCAAGACAACTGCCAGCACTTCCTCCAGGAACACCCGACATCAAACTCCATCTCTGGAAACTATTTCAACTAGCAGAGTGACCAGATCCCCTTGAACACCTGCGGTGTTGGGGAACAATGCCACTGGGGGCCAGCCTATGAGGGAAGCCATCCCCTCATCTTCCTCCCTGTCCTTTCCTGTGTTCTGGGCTGCCAGTCCTCCCAGCATGCCTTGCAGCTGAATTCTGCTGCGCCACGACAGCAAATTTGGGGAGGAAGTAACTTCTGTCCTTCAATGACTCATA